AAAGTCGTAAGTATTTGTATAAATTTGCGTAAAACGTCCAACCAACCAACGTTCTCGAAGATACTTCCACATTCTTTGGGTATTGACATTGGCCTTTTAATTTCTTGTCAAATTACATAATTTCTATCTTCTACCTGTTCTTTTTCCCCTTTCTTGTCTTAAGAATTTGTGCACTAAACACACACACACACACACTAAACATTCATCTAAATTATCTTTGTTACCACAATCATCGTACTGATGTGATCCAGATGTGGTAGCGGCAAGAAATGTGTACCGAAACACTTAATGGATCGAAACACTTCTTACCAATTACAAATATTTTAATACTCTCCTTCCCTTTTTTTCACTTCGTTCATCTCTTCTTTTTCCTTCTCCTAGTTTTCTACCTTATCTTTAAATATAGTTAACAGGTGATAAATGCTTGTCATCCTCAGACAGCAAAGCAATAATGCAGCATTGAAAATGAAGCAACGAAACGATTTTGGGGATCTCCACCTGATTGACCATTAGGTGGTGTAGCTTTGGGCATAACCGATGTGGAAATATCCGCTGAGGTATGAAACAGCCACTAATCAGCATAACTTCTCCTGCTTGCCTCAGTTGTGTTTTTCCGCAGCACTATAAATTTTTTGGTGATATCTTTTAGTACGGCTGTAAATATACAATATCTGTGAATATGTTTATGATGTTATAGTTGCCGTCAAATTACAATTTCGAGATTCCGAAAACTGTGTGGAAGATCCGAAGCACAGCAAGTAGAAATGGTATGTTCTTTTTTTTGGCACTGAAGTACCTGGATCAACTATAGTACCGTGTTTCTTCGCACCAACTCAGCTATTCCCTTCCGATAGAATTGCTGAACGAAGCTTTGGTCTTTTTAAGTGGCGTGCGGTGAGTTGAACGTAGTCTTCCCTCCTTCCATTCATCGCCATCATCCTCTCTCCCTCATCTAACTGCATGTTTATTTGAATTTCAGTGTGCCTGCAGTTTCCGGAAG